AGAGAGTGTTCCTATCCTCGTATCAAGACAACCTCGTATCAGGCTCACACTGAAAATTCCCCTAAACCCAAAACCTCTCCCTAGTTTTACCAGGCAAAAGGTACATTCTTGATACGAGGTCCCCTGATATGAGGCCGTAGGAACACGCCCTTAGTGCAACACGCCGCCAGGCTGGCGGAAACCCCTGCAGTGCGCGTTTCAGAGTGCACCCCCGAAACAAGGCTGAGGCTCAGCCTACACCCATAGAAATTGTCTGAACTTTCAGCCAATACATAAAAAACAAGAGGCGACGAAATCGTCTTAGGGTTGCGAAGCGTTTGTCGTATATAATATACAACTTTCAATACAAAGTATGGTTCTAGTTTCGCATGGTCACCTAAATTTCAACAACGAGTATATACTCAGTTTGAGATTTTGTAAAATTACCCGCAAAGGATTCGAACTCGCGACCTTCCGGTTCAAGGCGACATTTCCAACAACTGCGCTACCGGAGAAATTCGATTGCCAAGATAAAATAATTCGGCGTTAATTGTTGCGACGAAATACTTACAGCTCTAGGGTTTGCCCGTCCCTTTTTTTCCCTCCTCTTCTTCTCGCTCGTCACGTTGTTCCAACTACCCCACCTACCAGATTAAGGTGAGAAGATCCCTCAGCTTCTACTGCAACTAAGTTAGACGCCTATTAGTTAGAATAAAATTGAGTCATCTCGTATCCTAACTATGCAAAAGGATGATTATTAGCTAGACTAAGTTGTGTAAACTTAGGTTCTAGGCTCTTCGTAAAGGCTTCCATCGCAAAAATGTGAAAATCAGGGTCTGAGGAGGGGGGGGGGGGGGGGGGGGGGGGTCTGTTCTGGGGTTCAAATCTGCCTCGTAAACGTTCGTTCACAAGGGACATTGCCCGACTACTTTTTTCGTGTGGTTTACTGCGTGGAAACTGTCGTGAACTATCACGAACTCTCGTTTACACAGCAATTTTGTTTTGAGGCAACTCTTCATGGTGGGATTCATCCCGTTGATGAGCGTTGACTGTCGTTCGGGTACTGTGCTGGAAGGTTGTCATTATTGCGGGCCATCTCACTGTTCACTTGCCCATAAACCAAACCTTCTCGCTCGTTTACACAGTGGTTCGATTTCGGTGCAGGGGAGCGTGGAAGCGGGAAACGATTTTACCGCCAGAATGAACGGAGATGAGAGAGTTTGATCGAACGGCTGGAAGCAAAACAGAACAGTGAAAAACAGTCGTGGCCTACAAAGCCACGTGTCGTGCCACTCGAGTTATAGAAGTGTCTTCAAATTATGTACAATCAAACTTGATGTACAGAAATCTGTACTCTCATAAATGGTTTTACAAAACTTGCTGTTACATATCTTTGACTATAATTGTGTAGATCAAGTCCATATTGTGCTACTTTAGTTTGTGGTATCTAAAACATTTGCGTAATTTGGTTCAAGAAATATGCTTAAAACGTCAGATATTATCATATTATAATTATATGATACACTAACAAACGGCATCCGGCTAAAACGACAATTTGTAGCATCGATGGAATGCATACTTCTAATGCTATATACGGTAATAAGACACCGCATTAAAAAATACGCAGCCTTAAAACGACACCATGCAGCGCCGATGCCTGTCCTTGAACAGATATGGTCCGTTCGGCGCACCGACGCTTGTCTACCTATCCACATCAGTTGCGAATGATCCCAAACCCGCACAGCCTCACCTAGATACATAGTAGATGCTATTGGTACAAAGAAACGGGAGTTAAAACGAGGGACGGGGCTCCGTTCTGCTGAAAGCGTATTGGCTGCCTATCCTTGCACAGATCTGACCCGTTATGTGCACCGACGCTTGTCTACCTATCCAAATCAGTTGCGAATGATCCCAAACCCGGACAGCCTCACCTAGATACATAGTAGATGCTATTGGTACAAAAAAACGGGAGTTAAAACGAGGGACGGGGCTCCGTTCTGCTGATAGCGTATTGGCTGCCTATCCTTGCACAGATCTGACCCGTTATGCGCACCGACGCTTGTCTACCTATCCAAATCAGTTGCGAATGATCTCAAACCCGGACAGCCTCATCTAGATACATATTAGAGGCTATTGGTACAAAGAAACGGGAGTTAAAACAGGGGACATGGCTCAATTCTGCTTTTAGAGTGCTGGCTGCCTATCCTTGCACAGATTTGGCCCGTTCTGCGCACTGACGCTTGTCTACCTATCCAAATCAGTTGCGAATGATCTCGAACCCGGACAGCCTCACCTAGATACATATTAGAGGCTATTGGTACAAACAAACGGGAGTTAAAACAAGGGACGGGGCTCTATTCTGCTGATAATGTGCTGGCTGCCTATCCTTGCACAGATTTGGCCCGTTCTGCGCACTAACGCTTGTCTACCTATCCAAATCAGTTGTGAATGATCTCAAACCCGGACAGCCTCATCTAGATACATATTAGAGGCTATTGGTACAAAGAAACGGGAGTTAAAACAAGGGACGGTGCTCTATTCTGCTGATAGTGTGTTGGGCTGCCTATCCTTGCACATATTTGACCCGTTCTGCGCACTGACGCTTGTCTACCTACCCAAATGAGCTGCGAATGATCTCAAACCTGGATAGCATCACCTAGATACATAGTAGAGGCTATTGATACAAAGAAACGGGAGTTAAAATAAGAGACGGTGATCTCTTCTGCTGATAGTGTGTTGACTGCCTATCCTTGAACAGTTTTGGTCCGTTCTGCGCACTGACGCTTGTCTACCTATCCAAATCAGTTGCGAATGATCTCAAACCCGGACAGCCTCACCTACGTACATAGTATATGCTATTGGTGCAAAGAAACGGGAGTTAAAATAATTGACGGGGCACTATACTGCTGATAGTGTGTTGACTGCCTATCCTTGAACAGTTTTGGTCCGTTCTGCGCACTGACGCTTGTCTACCTATCCAAATCAGTTGCGAATGATCTCAAACCCGGACAGCCTCACCTACGTACATAGTATATGCTATTGGTGCAAAGAAACGGGAGTTAAAATAATTGACGGGGCACTATACTGCTGATAGTGTGTTTACTGCCTATCCTTGAACAGTTTTGACCGGTTCTACGCACCGACGCTTGTCTACCTACCCAAATCAGTTGCGAATGATCTCAAACCTGGACTGCCTCACCTAGATACATAGTAGAGGCTAGTGGTACAAAGAAACGGGAGTTAAAATAAGAGACGGGGCTCTATTCTGCCGATAGTGTGTTGACTACCTATCCCTGAACAGTTTTGGTCCGTTCTGCGCACTGACGCTTGTCTACCTATCCAAATCAGTTGCGAATGATCTCAAACCCGGACAGCCTCACCTACATACATAGTATATGCTATTGATGCAAAGAAACGGGAGTTAAAATAATTGACGGGGCACTATACTGCTGATAGTGTGTTGACTGCCTATCCTTGAACAGTTTTGACCGGTTCTACGCACCGACGCTTGTCTACCTACCCAAATCAGTTGCGAATGATCTCAAACCTGGACAGCCTCACCTAGATACATAGTAGAGGCTAGTGGTACAAAGAAACGTGAGCTAAAATATGTGACGGGGCACTAACCTTCTAAGAATGACATGACCTGCTATCCTTGAACATATTTGACCCGCTCTGAGCACGGAAGCTTGTTTACCTATACAAATTCGTTGCTAATACTCCGGATACCAGATAGTCTCACCTGCACTCACTGTAAAGGCTATTGGTACAAATTGAAAGTAATGTACATACAAAAAAAAGAAACACTGATTACAAAAGTCTCAAGGAATGCTGTGTTCACACAGTCATGCTTTATATTGAAATGATTATGGTAAAAAGACTGAGGTTGCTAGGTATGGGGAGCTTTGCATGGCCATGTATTGAACCTTTACAGTTTAAATATACATACATAAATAACACCTAACACATCAGAATTGTTATATGCGAGGTTGTGAGCGGTGCAATTGTGCAGAGTTTGATATTCTCTACAGCTGTTCTTTGTCTTGTTGGTGCGGCAGAAGCTGGCCTTCCTTGTCTTGTATTTTGCGCTGCTGGCTTTTGTCTTGTTTGCGCAGCAAATGTCCGAGCCATCCACACATTTGCCGAGCTGGCATTTGTCTTGTATGTATGACAGATGGTGGCCAGTCGTGTCGTGCCCTCATTCGCCACGATTTGCTAAGTTGCGCTGGTGCTTTTTGTCCAGTCTGTACTGCTGACCCTGCGCTGGATTTCCGAGCTACTCTGATTGGTTACTCTCGCGTGACGAGGCGTAAACTTTGCTGTGTGTGGTCGAGCCGAGACCACGCTGGCCAACTCTTTAGTGGTGGTCACTTAGCCTTACCTCGCCGTTATCCACGTACCGTGCCACCAGACTGCTACCATGTACAGCTCAGCGGAATATGCTGCACAACGGCGGATATTCTGTTGAGCTGTACATGCATTGGGCTGTGCACCAATCCACTATCGCGCCACTTCACACCAATATGGACCGTCGCGTTGCGCCGCGAGGAGCTGGACGATGGCGCGAAGCGACTTCATCACACCTGAGCGACACCTGAGCGATTCCCGACCACGTACAGGCGAGTGTAGTGGTCCCCGCCTGACCAGCCGTTTAGGTTCGAGACGTGGCTCGTAAAGTCATGCGACGCGCATTGTTTTACCCCACTCGAACATTACCAAAATCTTTTTAGATACAGGTAGTCCCCTAAAATGACCCAACTCGAAAACGCGAATGGGGAGATACCCCAAAAGCCGTAAAGTTAGAAACAAGATTGCATAATCGATATTCGTTTTTGTTTTTTTTTGGTTTTGAACAGTTGCCCAATAATACTATAATCTGCCCGTTTGTTCACACTCACTTCATCACCATATAAACAGAGGCACCTGGTGTATGACAGTTAACAATGGATCTAGAATTTCCGCCAATCGGTAGGGCAACCCCTGGTCAGGGATCGAAGAGAATTCGACCCGAGCCTGACCCGATGCAACTGGACCCCAATGCTCTAGTCGCAGAGGAAGATGTTGACGGGGTCACCCTCCCCAACCCTCTCTCAGCCTTGGGAGTTGATGGGGAGGACCCTCGCATGAATGGTGCTGATATTGATGCAGTAATAGCCGCCCTACAGCAAAAAAAACAGCACCTCTTAGCTGCCAAAAAGGCCTCGGTGAGTCGCATTCTTCGTCAACCTGAGGTCCCCCGGGGGCAAATCCTTCCAGTGGCTCCTGCACCTGTAGCACCTTCACTGTTTCAGTCAATCAACGCGCCTGAAGGTGGCGACTACCTGCAATCTCACGGGGGTGGGGGAGTGGAGCAAGGCGGCGAGGGCGTTGGGTCTGCCCAGATGCAGAACTTGCCCAGCTATGGCCTTCCTGCAGCTGCTCTCCCAGCAGCCCCAGTCCTTGCTGCTTCAGTCCCAGCTGCCCCAGAAGTTGCTGCTGCCCAAGACCTTGCTGTCCGTGCGCCGCGTTCCGCAGGTCGGTATTTTCCAGTCATTATTATAGTCACTTAGTTTTCGTGCTTGTTTGTCTTTCTTTCTTTTTACCAAGTCGCTAATTATGTTTGTTTGATTCGTCTCCTCCCGCAGTTAACCACCATGGCAACACGATTCGCAACCTGGAGGGTCAGCTTGAGGATATGAGGAAGACCGTGCATGCGTACCAGTCTCAGCTGCTCGAAAACGCGACGGCGTTGAGCAACATCGAAACAGAGCGGGGACAACCCCGGGAGCAGATTGCATCTCTCCAGCAGTTGCTGGCAGAGCAGGCCGAAAGCTTCTCAACCGGGACGCTCGGTACCCCAAGCCTTGTGGTGGTAGCTGACAACCCCGGGGTGAACATGGGTGTTCTCCCCAAGGATAAGGATGGTAACGTCCTGGTACCGACCTCACTCTCTGACGACAATACCTACGGTGTGAGTGGCGCATGTAATAATTCCTCTTCAGTTAAACAACGCCTGCTTGCCTGTGTTGTTGGACATGCGACAAAAGTTGAATAATATGTCTCACTGACTTCCATTTTGTGCGTTGTTTGCCCCTAAAAACATTCCAGAAAATGGCGCTGGAGACGTACGTGCTTCTAATTACTGAGGCGCCTGCACAGGAGATGCTGTTCTACCCGTCGTGGGAGGATTTTCAGCCGCACCTAGTGCGGAAGTACATGCGGAATGGCGTAGTCAAGGACTTGTACTACTACGTCAACGGCGGTAATCAGGCGCGGGCGGACAGTGCGATGAAGAAGGTCTCGAACAAGCGCTCCAACACTAACAAGACGTTCAAGTACTACGGGTGGGGCGCGGGGGGGTACTACGTGGACAAAGACAAGTGGCCAGCACTCGCTAAGGAGGGGATAATAGTCTCGGAGGAACGAGATGTGGCAGCTTGGGTGAAACATTTCAAGCATGGTGAGTACTTTGCCCTCATCTGTTTAACATGTTTTTATATACGCACGGTTTACGCATCTAACATATTCACCCCTTGCAGCACCTTCTCTGCCCCTTGCTGCACCTTCTCTGCCCCTTGCTGCACTTCTACGCCTCTTGCTGCACTTCTACGCCTCTTGCTGCACTTCTACGCCTCTTGCTGCTCTTTTTCAACCCTTGCAGCAGTTCTTAGACTAACCTATTTATCATGAATTGCACTCTTTCATTCTTACCCATGTGGCTACCTGCAGTCCTGTATGGCAACCATTGGCATTGCTCTGCTAATGGTCGTCCCTTCGCCACCATTGCCTTTGAGAAGGCGGTTTGCAAGGGGTTCGGAAGCAGCAAGTGACAGCGCTTCAATCTGAAGATCCCGGCCCTTGCATATCTTTGCAATGTGGTAAGCTGCAGCCCAACCTGTTAGCCTGTTGACTCGAGTTACAAAACATGCATTAGCTGACTTTTTTTCCTTCTCTGTTTCTTTGATGTGTATGGCAGATTGAGTTTCCGATGCAGTCGTACAAGGGCAAGGGCACGCCGTCTCTGGACACATGTGAAACCACGAACCGCAATGCGGTTCAGGACCAGATTGCTGTGGTTGTTGCCTGGCTGAAGGACGCTCTGCAGCGTGAACCATCGGTGTACTCGGCGGAGCACCCGCCTGGGTTTGTGCTTGGCACAGGAGCTATTAGGATTTTAGTTGAGGGCTTTGAGGAGAAGTTTTTCCCTCGAGTTATTGACTTGTAGGTCATGTAGGGACTTGTAGATGTAGGGATGTAGTGTCTAACTCTTAATTTGAAATATCTGTAGTTCTCGTTATTATTTAGCACCTGCCCAGAATCATTATTTCGTTATAAAAGCGATTAATAATACATGCATAGTGGCTCCCGAAAGCATTCATTAGCTACAGAAGAATGTAACCGATTGTGTTACTGTGTTACTAGACGACTGAAAATACCCGTTATCATCTCGCTCGTTATATGTCAAAAAATGATTATTTCACGCTGGATATACTGAGGGTTACACTTTCGTTACAGGGTGACGAAGTTACAGCCAGTGTTACAACGCGAGTTACAAACACATTGTACTGAAAGGTTCCGTACTCGTGCACTGCGGTAAACTTCCGCGATCAACCATTCATCCCCATTCACCACGCTACACTGGGGTCCTCGTAAATGGATCACCCCCCCACCCCTGCTTACTCGCCGCTTGACAAACCGACGTGAACAGGCTGATGTGGCCATTCACACACATTCAAGGCAGGAGCTCGCGGTGAACAGTGAACCCCAGTTCGGTCGTTTACGCAGCTGTACGAAGAGCCTGGTTTGGGATACACAATGGGCTGAACGCCAATCCATTTACAAGGTGTCAGAATATTATAGCTTATGCTGTTGTGTAGGCTATAGTGGGGTATTCCATAGGGGGTACAACCAATTAGGGTTTCATATTTGTACTCACTTCATTTCATAGTTCATTCATTCTTGTTCAAATCTTCTCATGGTATCGAGCAGGTTCCCCCTTGGGAACTGTGCTTAGGGCCCACCACACCGATTTTTTTTTTCCTGCCCGAAGCGCGCTCAGCCCGAGTCGCGCTCCGGGCCCTCACTTCGTCGAGCCGCCCTAGCGGCCCTGCACTGCGGCCCCGCCACCCGTCTCCGCGGCCCCGCCGCCCGTCTTCGCGGCCCCGCCGCCTCTCTCCTAGCGGCCCCGCCGCCCTACCTAGCGGCCCCGCCTCCTCTCTCCTAGCGGCCCCGCCGCCCTACCTCGCGGCCTCGCCGCCCCATTGAGCGGCCCCGCCGCCCCATCGCGGCCCCGCCGCCCCATCGCGCGGCCCCGCCGCCCTACCTAGCGGCCCCGCCGCCCTACCTAGCGGCCCCGCCGCCCCATCGCGCGGCCCCGCCGCCCCATCGCGCGGCCCCGCCGCCCCATCGCGCGGCCCCGCCGCCCTTCCTCGCGGCCCCGCCGCCCCATCGCGCGGCCCCGCCGCCCTACCTAGCGGCCCCGCCGCCCTTCCTCGCGGCCCCGCCACCTTACCTGCGGCCCCGCCACCTTACCTGCGGCCCCGCCCTTACCTGCGGCCCCGCCGCCCTCTGCTGCGGCCCCGCCACCTTACCTGCGGCCCCGCCACCTTACCTACGGCCCCGCCGCCCTCTGCTGCGGCCCCGCCACCCTATCTGCGACCCCGCCACCCTACCCGCGGCCACGCCGCCCTTACCAGCGGCCCCGCCGCCCTTACCTGCGGCCCCGTCACCTGCTGCCCAGCCGTGCCGCCCTGCAGCAGCACAGCCGAGCCGCCCAGCAGCCGAGCCGCCGAGCCGCCCAGCAGCCGAGCCGCCCAGCAGCCGAGCCGCCGAGCCGCCCAGCAGCCGAGCTGCCCAGCAGCCGAGCCGCCCAGCAGCCGAGCCGCCCAGCGGCCGCGCCGCCCAGCAGCCGAGCCGCCCAGCAGCCGAGCCGCCCAGCAGCGGAGCCGCCGAGCCGCCGGGCCGCCCAGCAGCTGAGCCGCCGAGCCGCCGCGCCGCCCTCCTTCAGGGCCGCCCGACCTGCCCAGTCTGGTGAGCACAGCGCCTTTTCACTGCACTGTCCTCACCCTACTGTTTGCGCTGCTAGTCGTCTAGGGTCATGGCTACCCCTAGTGTTCTCGCCTTTGACGCTGAGGGTAGGGCCATTGACTTTGAGGTCTGGGTAGATGACCTGCAGCTGTTCTTACAGTGCGATAGGGCAGACGGCCTCTCTCTCTTTGACCTCAACTCTGGCACCTCCACTGCCCCTGCTACTGATGCTGACGCCACTGTTCGCTCCCAGTGGGCCACGCGCGACGCTGCTGCACGTCTTGCTGTGCGTCGCCACCTCCCTACCTCCGAGCGTGCGCACTTTCGTCAGTACAAGAGTGCTCAGACCTTGTACGACGCTGTAGTTGCGCGCTACTCCTCCCCTGCCACTGCTGCACTGAGCCGTCTCATGCTACCGTACCTCTTTCCTGATCTTGCTGCCTTTCCCACAGTCACTGACCTCATTACGCACCTCCGCACTAGTGACACTCGCTACCGCGCTGCACTCCCTCCTGACTTCTGCGCCAGGAACCCCCCCCCCATGTACATCACTCTTTACTACATAGTCACTCGCCTTCCTGACTCCCTTCGCGTAGTCAGGGACCACTTTCTCTCTGTCTGTCCCACCACTCTCACTGTTGACCTCCTCGAGAAGTCCCTCCTAGCAGCCGAGAAGAGCATAGTCGCTGTAGGGGCCTCTCGTGGTGACCCGCGCACCCCCATCTTTGAGGGGTGTTCCCCCTCCCCCCTTCTGCCCTCTGTTGCCTCTGCTGCTGTGGCCGACCTCCTTGTTCTTGAGTCGGTCGGTGCGGCGTCTGCCCCTAGCGGGAGACGCCGCTCTGGCAAGGGCAAGGGGGGCAAGGGCGCTGGAGGAGCGAGCGGGGGCGGTGGAGGTGGAGGTGGCGGCAGTTGGGGGAGTGGGGGTGGCGGTGGGAGTGGAGGTGGGGGTGGAGGGGTCGGTGGCGGCAGTGGAGGTGGAGGTGGCGGCGGCGGTGGCGGTGGGAGCGGAGGTGGCGGAGGTGGCGGAGGTGGAGGCGGCGGCGGAGGCGGAGGCGGCGGCAGTAGCGGAGGCGGCGGAGGCGTCGGAGGTGGCGGCGGAGGCGTCGGAGGTGGCGGGGGTGGCGGTGGTGCTGGTCGCGGGTCTTCGCAGAGGAGTGGCTCCGGTGGTGGCTCGCGCCAGCAGCAGCAGCGTGGTCGTGACACCCTGTCCCCTCAGCAGCTTCGTGAGTGGTACACTGCGCGTCAGCGGGGTGGGGGTTTTGGTCCGTGCTCCTACGTCTTGCGCACTGGCGACCGTGCGGGTGAGCAGTGTGGGGGTGCCCACCCCACCCAGCGCTGCTTTGGCCGCCTGACGGACGCGTGGCGTCACCAGTTCCCGGAGGCCTCCGAGATCCCTCGCTGGGGCGAGCTGTCTAGGGCGGGTGTTGCCATCTATGATCTTGACTTTGATGCTATTCTCTCTGCCATGTATGCTGTGTCTATTAGTGATGAGGGTGACTGTTACCGGTGTTTCCCGCCCGATCCGGGCATTGAGACTGCTGCTCTAGGTCCTGGTGAGGCTGCTGCCCTAGGTGCTTGCGACGCTGCTGCTCTAGGTGCTCGTGTGTCTGCGTCCTCAGGTACTGGTGAGTCTGCGCTCTCAGGTACTGCGTCGGCTTCGGCCTCCCTCACCTTCACCCTTGACTCTGGGGCGTCTCGCTCCTTCTTTCGGGACCGCACCACACTCACACCGCTGAGTCGACCGGTTGCAGTGTCTCTGGCTGACCCCTCTGGGGGTCCTGTCCTGTCTCGCTTCTCCACAGTCCTCCCGTGTCCGGCGGCTCCCTCTGGCACCCTGTCTGGTCTCTACCTCCCCTCGTTCTCTACGAACCTGGTGAGTGGTGCTGACCTACAGGATGCGGGGGTCCACCAGTTCACTCCTGCACGTCAGAGAGTGACCCACTGTACAGAGGCTGGCACAGGCCGACACCTGGCTACGTTCACCCGTCAGCCGGGGTCGAGCCTGTACACTCTGACCACTGCGTCTCCTCCAGTTGCTGAGTCTGGTAGGGTAGTTACGTCGGGTCAGGTGTTTGCTGCGGCGTCCAGGTCTGGTCCTGAGTCTGCCCCCTGTTCGTGTCGTCTCCTGTCTCACGAGACTCTCCTCTGGCACCACCGCCTTGGCCACCCCTCTCTGCTTCGGCTCAGAGGTATGGCCTCCCGTCTTCTTGTGTCCGGTCTCCCCCGGTCCCTCCCTCCCCTTCCTCAGGGCCCTGGCCCTGCCTGTGTCCCCTGTGTCGAGGGGCGCCTGCGTGCTGCCCCTCACTCCTCCCAGTTTCCTCCGACAGAGGCCCCGTTGCAGACACTTCACATGGACGTGTGGGGCCCAGCCCGCGTCCGTGGACAGGGTCACGAGCGCTACTTCCTGCTCGTTGTTGACGACTACTCGCGTTACACCACAGTCTTCTGTTGAGTGATGCTACCATTCGCATTCACGTCTGTCTGCCTCCCATCATATGTTCGTGCGTTGCATGCGTGTTGTGAGTGTGTGCAAGAATTTGTGTTTTGTGCGGTTTGGTTTTTCTGAGTGTGTGTGTGAATGTTATTTGGCTTGAGCAGATATCTGAAGTGACTCCTCTGCTCAAGAGCTTTCCGAGGAACCAAGTATCGCTTCAATCGGAGCACGAACAAGAAAGTTACGAACGTTGGAGTTCGTATGCTTTTGATATTTGGTTGTGGTGACTATGGGAAGTTGTGGGGTTGACTCAATATGGGGTACAGACTTTTGGGGGTTGGGAAATTCGTCTTTTCTACTGTAGTTGCT